CGGTAATCGGAGACACCCGGAGGCTCGCCCTGCGCTATGTTATATATTTCTCCGCAAAATGTAAGATTATTTATTTGTGCGTGATTAAAAAAAAAATATAGCAACAAGGTTTAGTGGGTTTGTTGCAGACTTTTAACGCAACTATGAATTATTTTTTTACAAACAGCGTATATTTTGTACGATTTTAATAATAATATTACATATTTGGAAACATCGTTTGAGTAAATTATTTTCTATGGTTTTATATTAGTAGTAGTTCCTTTAGAAAGATCTACAGTTTTGACAAAAAACACAGAAGTAGGTGTGCTACATGATTTGCAGCCAGTTTTTTGACAGAATTAGGTACCACTTGTAATATTTCACATACAACCATGTTTTATACCCGTTTTACAATAAGTATGAAACTTGATATGAACGCTAATGTTGTAACTACGTACTCGTATTTAAATAAATATTATATTAGTAAATAGTTCTTTGAAATGAACGGTATAAATATCCGATAAAATGTAGATCAAAATTTAAAACGTAGTGATTACTTGCTCAGTGACATTTTTTTATCATTTTTTAAGTATTAAGCATTGGCCAACAGCCAAAAAGTATACATCCCAAATTTAATAACATAAATAAATGTCAGTGAAGCACTTTTTTTTATTATTTCAGAGCAAAGTATACTAGTTATACAGTATATAAAATCTTAAGATAATTTTATATAATTAAAGCTATGCTCATGTTCGATGCTTACTAGTCGATAACAACATAACAATAAAGTAGTGTAAACATAAAAACAATATTACTAACCACGAAATGTCTTGGTTTCAAAAACGCATTGGTCCTTTAACACAGTTATGACACAAAATGTTATATAATTTAAAAAAAATTCACCTTTATTTCTTTTTTTAAACAAAAACGATTTCCCGCCAATTTAATTCTCGCGCTGACGCACTACACTTCGCGTCCCTTTATTCTTTACGTATAAAAATGACTGGCCGGTACGCTATTTTTAGGACTCTTTGCATGGGGTTCTTGCCATAATTTAGAGCAACAAATGGGTAAATTATGAGATCCGCGCATGCGTGGTGGTCGCACAGTGTAAGTACGCAAACAAACTGTTATTTTGAAATCTAGAAATAACGATTTCGCGTGGGGTTTGTACTTAGACTAGAAACTATGGTGGTTGGAATAATAACATAGTTTCTAGTTAACTACATACTAAGTATACGTGATAGTTAAGTACTGGCCTATCAATTATTAAGCGTTAAGTGTATTTGTGTCTATGACTATGACCTGCTATAACTCAAATATAACAAGGTTTTATGAACTGGGGAAACGAGGATAGTTAGTTTAGCGTTTGTTGGGACCACTATTATTTTCATTTAATGTTAGACATAGACACCTATACATACATTTTAAATACACTGGCTTTAAAAAAAAGTAATTCAATTGAGTTTCTTGCCAGTTTTTTTTTAAAGGATGATAATGGAATGGTGCGCCCGCCTGCGCTAACGGTTTACGCTGGCGGGGCACCAGTGGAGGATGATAGGATGAACATGAAGTAAGATCAGTTAGCCCAACGTGACAAATTCACTAGGAATGTATCATGATGGTTTCGAGGGGGAACCGCGTGGAGGTCGATCTGACATGATACATTGCTAGCAATGTGATCATTAGTCCACATTACTGACAATACCTTAGTTTCTTCCCAGTTCTTCTCAATTTGATCTATATACCGAACTGGACGGTAGGGAAAAAATTAAAATGATAATGTAAAATTTGACGTTCATAAGCGGCTAAAAATGTCCTACATGAATAAATGATTTTGAATTTGAATTATATATATTGTGTTCTTTGTTACAATACAAACGAAAGTAACAGCACGAAAGGAGGAGGTGAAATGATGAGTGCAATTATGGCTATTTACATTATGTATATTACGAAATATTTCCAATGGAAATATATACAAGTAAGAGATTCGGTCTCGAATGACAGGCCTGTTATTTTTCCTCTCAACGTCGTAACTAGGCAACAGTGTTGCCGCGCAATAATAGTTAATTCGCGACATTAGCAATGAGGAGTCATTATTGCTATCCTTGTTTAAGATAAGCTAAAGAAGATATCCTCATTGAGTTTGTTGTTGATTGTAATCTTTTTATTCTGCTTATGATATGTATTTAATAATTAATATTGCTTTTTGTTCTCTACTTTAATAGGTCCTCTATTCTATTCTTCCTTAGCTTATCTTCCGTTAGCCAACAGACAATTACTATTAAAATTCATGAAAAAACAAAATAAAATAATTGGATTTTAGGATTTTGATTTTAGTTATGGCCAAAACTAGTATTTTTATCAGTCTCGGTGGTCTAGCGGTTTAGACCCAGTCGTACTTGCGATGTTCGCGGGTTTGAACGCTCGGTAAAACACAGCTTACACAGTTGTTTATCGGCTGAAATAGATACGATTGTGGTACCCACACCTTTTTATTCATCTCTATCTGTTACCCGCAACTGTTTCTGCGTGGATATAAACTTTTTTTTTAATTAAAATATATATATAAACTAGCCCAAGTTACTCTTTACAACACTAGCTATCTGCGACGGAAAGTCCCATCAAAATCGGTCCAGCCGTTCCAGAAATTAGCAAGAACGAAGAGATAGACAACAATTTTATTAAATTAATTTTTCGATTTGAGTACCGTATAATTTGTATATTCATAAGCATTTATCGGTAACCTGTTAATTTGTAATTACAGACCGACAATTTTATTTATTTTTATACATTGATAATTGTCTTGATTTAAAATCAGGGTAATTGATAGATGTATACAAAACTGTTTTTATAAATAGAAAACTATAATATGGCTTTTAATGGTGTTTCTTGCGGCAGGCATGCGGCAGGTCACGCAGGAAGTGCGCTTGGCGGAGCGTGTCAGACCTTATGGGATATCTGATGGGTTTAAGTTTATGGAGACCTTTGTAATTTTATTGTTCCTACCCAGACACTAGAATGATTGTTCAAATAAAAAATGCCTGCGTTCCAATGTATATTAATTAAATTACCATTTTGTGATCGGACCTTAAGTTTCTATTTACGTAATGATTAGAAATAGAAATAGAAATAATCTTTATTCAAATAAACTTAATATAAGCACTTTTGAATAGTCAAATTTTTTTATTCTACCGCTTATTCGGAATGCAGATTCATCACAAGAAGAATAAGCAAGAAACTTGTGTGTTGCTCTTTTAATAAAAATTTAGTTTCTTAATAAATATAGGTGTTCAAAATCTACCCTGTAACATCGTAAGCACAGATTATTATATTAGAGTCCGTTAGTTTTCTGTTCCCGCGCCTTTGCCTCCCCTCCCTTACCTAGTACTGAACTGACCGTACAGCGGCCATGATGCGCGCGCATTGTGTTGTGAATTAAAATAAATTAGAACTGTGAAACCTACTGTGAAACTGGAAAGCTAGTGAAGATATCTTCGAGACCCTGAAGCCCAAGAAATCCGCAGAACCATACAGGTACGTGACTGACGCTTCCACTTATTTTTCCCTATATATATACAGAGAATAAATTCCCTAACATTTTGGTAGCAGAGTAGTTTCCCTAACAATAGGTATTGGTTGTTGATATGAATAGTTTTTTCCGAAAACATAACTGCAGTGACATTTTATGTGTGGCTACACACTAGGCTATGCCTGCATAATAGAAATAGCAAGTTTGACAGTCAAAGTAACAATGCTACGGCGGCGATCGGAGATAGTAATCTTATACAATTTTCGTGTCATAATGTTAGTTACTATATTCCTCCTAAATGACTTGACCGATTATTATGAAATTTTGTATTAATATTCAGTAGGTCTGACAATCGGCTACTATCTATTTTTCAGTGTTATACGGTAGTTTTTAACATATCACAATTACATTATAACCTCACTAATATACGATGAGTATGGATGGATGTTTGTTACTCTTTCTTGCAAAAACTACTGAATAGATTTTGATGAAACTTTTCAGCAATATAGCTTATATATCAGAATAATACATAGGCTATAATTAATTAGGATATTATGTAAATTGAGCGAGATATAATGATAAATGTCAAGTAAGTGTGATGCAAACAAAGTTGCGCGGGACAGCTAGTATAAAATAAACTGCAGATTAATTTGGCACGCTCCATACAAAGAGCAAAAAGCAGCAACCAGCGACATGGAAAGTTCAATCACTGAAGGAAATAATACATTAATTACAAGTGAAGCACAATTATGTTTGCAAAAACAACCCCACTATTTGCAATGCACTCGAGTATTTCTTGCTCGACTCAATAAAAACTAAAATCTTATGCTGAATATACTGGTATCCAATTTAGATTTTTTAGTTCAACTTATGCTGAATATACTGGTATCCAATTTAGATTTTTTAGTTCAACTTATGCTGAATATACTGGTATCCAATTTAGATTTGTTAGTTCAGACCATAGACAAAATATATTGTTCTAAAAAAATCTATGTATGATTAAGAGTAAATACAGAACTGATTTGCGAATATTTAGAAATTATTTATTTATTTATATACTCTTTATTGCACCAGGAAAACTACATTAATAGAGTAATTAAAATTAAAGTGTACAAAATGCGACCTTATCGCTTGTGCAATCTGAAATGAAATATGATATGATATGATATGGTTGACCATCATGCGGTTCTCCTGGAAAGCATCATGTTAAATTTCTGGTGAATTTGCCACGATAGACAGACTGATCTGACACTTCTTATTTTATCATCCTCCACTAGAGCCCCGCCAGCGTTATAAATAAAGTTAGAGCAGATTATTATCCACTTAAAAAAAACCACACCTATATCGGATTCTTCGATTAGAGATATATGTACATATTTAAATAGAGAATAGATTAATGGAATATTTTTCAAAATTATTAATAAACATTACGCTTGTAAGAATGTGAAAAAATTACAATAATACGAAGTAAATCAATAAGTATGTAGATTATTTTTTATTTGTTTATAGAATTACATGACATATAAATTTTACAAGTAAATAAGTATACTATCGAATTTTAAAGTAACTTACAATTTGAAATAATTCTAGTAAATTACTATATCATTGAACATTTACTTCCTGACAACTCTTTTCCCGATGCATCATGCAAGTAAAGTCGTGACAGAAGCAATCGTCTCTTGTTGGATCTGAAAAAATCCACAAACCTGCAAATAGGTACTATAAATATACTGTAGTAGTAAAAAAATTATTTATTTCCCAACCGATACGATATTGAAACCTTCAAGAAAAGAATTTATTCCTTCTTAAAAGGCCGGCAATGCCAAGTGCAAGTCCCCTGGTGTTGCAGGTGTTCAAGGGCGGCGGGAATCACTTACCATCAGATGAGCCGCAAGCTCGTTTGTCTCCTACGCTATAAAAATCTATCCTTTTAAAACACTCACCTTCGGTTAAATCATCATTGTAATATAGCAGAATTGCAGGTATATGTAAATTTTCAGGTAACAATACATCACTGAAGCGGTCTCTTTCATCGGGTATACCTGAAAATATACATACTATATGCTCTGTTAGACTAATATAGTATATATTATCTATGTATAATAATTTAAAATTATCTATGTATTTGTATCAGTTATCTAGGACCCATAACACAAGCTTTAGCTATATACTTGGGTATATGTAGATGGCGTAACAATGTGTGAATTGTCTGAGATTATTATTATTATTATTATTATTATATATTATATACATAATATACACTATATCAGTCGTATTTGATGTCTTTGCTCTCGTAAATTAAAAAAAAAATCATCTATCTGCCTGTTACAATGAAGTAGAAATATAATATTTAAAAAAAGAGTAAACATTTTAAGGTCATATTTATTATAACAATAAGATTTCTCTTTTTATGTGACTGGAATACTCATTCGATGGAGTTCGATGTTCAGTGGAGAGTTCGAATATTTCTAGGTTTTATGCTATTATAATAATGAAATAAAAAATATATAATTTATTGCACACTGGATTTAATGTTGTCGACGTGGAATATTCGAGAAGAGGGGAAAAAATATAAAAAGAAACAAAACAGTACCAATGTTCTCGCATGACGTTCTATATTCAAATTTTGTAATTTTATATTTAAATACATAATTTGGCAATTTGCGATCGCAACCTTGCTCCCGGCATAGACAAGTTCCCTTAGCACTACCACAGATAAAATAATATTACATAGAACTATATAAATAACACAAATACCATTCTCCTCCAATGTTTTGTTATAGCACAAAGCCTTTCCAAGATACCGCCACGTGTACGACAGCATGTGACTGTTATGTGGTAGGTATCGCATCATGATCTGATATAACGACTCTTCAGAGCAGACCTCGAGGGTTACTGTGGAGCCTGTCGAGGAATGATTGTTGATTTGTGGTTTGAGTACCCAGGATAGATAGATAAATAGATAGAATATACTTTATTTGCAACATACAGTAAAGAAGAAGCACAAACAATATAACAAAGGACACATGTATCGTTACAATAAGGCGGCCTTATTGCTAAAAGCAATCTTTTCAAGGCAACCTGAGGGAAACGGATTGAAATATCGAACAGGTAGGTAATATGATATGAACAGGAGAAAACTAAAAAGTAACAGATATATAATGATGATGAAGGAAAATAATAATAAATATTATATGATATAAAATTTATGTACATATAGGATAGACAGGTAGGTACTGTAGAATTAGTCAACGTGATCAGATAAAACAGATAAGAAAATAACTTTTAATTATAAATTTTACTGCGCAAGAGTTACATGATTCTCGAGATTTGACAATACTCATAATAATAATAATAATCTCAGGACAATTCACAGAGCGCCATCTAGACCCAAGTTAAAATGGCTAAAACTTGTGTTATGTGTACTAGATCTAGACCCAAGTTAAGCTAGTTAATGCTTGTGTTATGGGTACTATACAACTGATACATAAACATAGATTTTTTTGTAAATACATACATATTATACTTAGAAAACACCCAGACCGATACAAACAATCATACTCATGAATACAAATGTTTATGTCGTACGAGGAATCGAACCCGTGACCATCGTTCGTAAAGCGGTGTGCTAGACCGCTAGACCACCGAGGTCGTCAATGTCAACTCATAAATACAAATATTTCTATTGTGCAGGGAATCGAACCCGCGACCACCGGAAGTTATTCGGTTAAGTGATAAATCGCTAGAGCAATAATACCGTCAAATAAACTATATTGTACCTATCAAACTATTAGTAATCCTGATTGGACGAGTCCTCGCAGTGGCCTTCCCAACTACGTAGCTCTCATTCTTCCACCACGGTTTTGGATGTGGTCTCCAACGGGTTGACGGCACCACCGGTTGCTGTGGTCCATTGCCATAAAACGAGTATGTGGTAGTGGAGCCGACGATGGGATGAACATAGCGGACCGGTTCATCCCCATTAAACCAATGACTTACATCTTTGCCAGCGAACGCGAGGACTGCCATTGCCGACTATAATGGAAATAGCAAACTATAAAGTTTAATGTTTAATAGATGTCGTAAGGAAAAGCGAATTGTTATAATCTGTACAAATAAATATAATTGAAGCGCTAGTAAAGCGAATATATTATCATATCTTATAATATTATCTATCTGCGAGTGAAAGTCCCGTCAAATTGGTTAGCCGTTTCAGAGATAGCAAGAACAAACAGAAAAACGTTTCAAACTAAGTACCGTTTATATATTCATATGAATATACATACATAGATGTTCATTTGAAATTACAACTTTATTTGTATAGATAAATATTTTTTTAATGTTTTGATTGCGAACATACCTATAACTATAATGATGCAGTGAGATAGACAAGATATGGACAACTTCAGTCATATCACTGGATGTAGGTACATGATGCCTTTGTTTTTTTTAAACATTGGAGAATTAACTCATCGCCATCTACTTTGACGTTAAGCAGAGCTTGTGTTATGGATATTGAACAACTTAAATACTTAGATATTTTTTTTGTAAATACAAACATAATATACATAGATAACACCAAGACCGATACAAACGATACTCTATCTAAACGATAACTCCTGAATACAAATCTTTGCACCGTGCAAGGAATCGAAACCGCGACCATCGGAAGTAAAGAGGTGTGCTAAACCGCTAGACCACCGTCCATCTAAAAAATCCAAACTAAACCTAATAGTAAGTACTAACTAGCTAATCACTCCGGCTTCGCAATGGTGTACATGTATTATACATATTAAACCTGCTTCAAGATTTAAGCATACATAGGGACGGACAGACAGCGACAGCGACTTTGTTTTATACTACGTAATGAAGTAATAGCTCACCCTTTTCGCATCACAATATAAGAACCCTCTCTTAAAACATGAGCAATATTCAATACAATCATCTCCACAGTACCAGTTCTTCACTGGACACGAACAACTCTTGGTGCATTTACAGATCCTGAACTGTTCTTCTAACCATGGAGTCAGGTTGTAGACTTTACCATTTAGGGATACCCAGCAGTCGGTCGCTCGATTGTGAACGGCAATTTCGGCTGGTGTATACCACTCTTGCTTTGTGTAAATCATATTTTATTTATTATATATCTAATATTTAAATTGATTATAAAAAAACATGACGTTTGAATGTCATGGAAAACCTTCGCTTGTCAAAAATTAAACTGTGCAATACATTTGAAAAATATTAGGGATAATGTTAAGAACTATTTAGTTTGTGTAAAGGAATATATTTATTTTGATATGTTTGATCGAAGGAATAATTTTTTTTATATATTTATATACATTCTATCTCTTTTAAATAAAAAAATAAGTGTTTGTCCATCGTGAATACATCTATTTTGCTTATTTTCTTTTCTATTAATGACCTATCTACGTATATCGAACCTAATTACAACGTTACGCCTAAAAATTTACGTGTTTGGACAGATGGATGTTTGTAACTGAAACTTTACAGTAATATACTGTAAACTTTGTTGTTTATATTGTATTTTTTACATTGCACTGAATAAAATTTTTTTCTTTCTTTTTTTTTCTTTTAAGTTTAATCAAAATTCGTTGAGTAGTTTTTGCGTGAAACAGTAACAAACTTATACATTCGAATAATCACATAGGCTATAATTTTAAAAGATATGTAAATTAGGTGAAATAGAGAACCCTTCTTGTATTAAGATTATTTTAGATTGTATTATTCTACCCTTATATTAAGGTTTCTCAAGGGTCGACAACGCGCATGCGACACGCCTGGTGTTTCAGGCGTCCATAGGCTACGGTAACCGTTTACCATCATGGGCCGTATGCTTGTTTGCCACCTACGTGGTATAAAAAAAGTTATTTCCATATTGGATTCATTGTACTGCCCAATAGATATGCTAGTGAACTCCTTGCATCATTTGTGCAATCGACCTCGGTGGTCTAGCGGTCAAGCACACCGCTTTACGACCGATGGTCGCGGGTTCGATTCCTCGCACGGCACAAACATTTGTATTCATGAGTATGATTGTTTGTGTCGGTCTGGGTGTTTTCTATGTATAATATGTATGTATTTACAAAAAAAAAAAAATATCTATGTATATGTATCAGTTATCTAGTACCCATAACACAAGCTCTAGCTAGCTTAACTTGGGTCTAGATGGCTCTGTGTGAATTGTCCTGAGATTATTATTATTATTATTATTTGTATTGTAATAAGTATTTTGTGTAATTAAAATGACAAACCATCTAACTTGCCATCATAATTGGTAAGTGGTAAGTGGTAACCGTCGGCTATACGCATGAACGGCGCTCCTTTCCCACCACCACCGGAGTTATTTTACCTTACCATTTGATACTACTCATGCGTTGCTATTCCAATAAGACAAGGACAAGTGATAATAATAATAATATAATAATACCCCTTGATAATTCACACAACGAGCAGAGCAGAGCTTGGGTTATGGATACTGGACAACTGATATGAATACATACACAATATACATAGAAAACACCCAGACCGACACAAACAATCAATCATGAATACATCTGTTTGTATCGTGCGAAGAATCGAACCTGTGATATAGAAAGTTAAGCGGTGTGCTGCACCGCTAGACAACTGAGGTTTTCAAATTATTAATATATTCTCTTGTATTCGAATTTCAACCTTATAACAAACAATATTAAAATCAAATTCAAAAATCATATACATCAATATAATTATAATACAAATACAATACAGTCTTGCTATATGCATAAATACAATTCATTCCACTACAACCCGAATTTAAATTTAAAAAATGTTAAGGGTGTTTATAACGTAAGACGGCAACGTTGTTATCTCATTGTATACATTCTCATACTTTTATTACACACGGTGTACCTAATACCACAGATAAGATAATACATACTAACACACTACACCACACAAGTATTCTGTGGATGTACCCTAAAAAGATACATGTCAGTGTAAAGGAAAAAATGTACTTCTAGAAGTACTTTATTTTAATAATTTAAACATAATCAGTTGGCAGTTGAATAATATATTTCCCATAATTTCTACACCAAATTGTAGTTTTTTCTGATCTCGTAGACAGTACATATACATACAAGTAGAGGCGGAGTTACCTACGGGCTTTTTGGGCTGCAGCCCAGGGCCCTGTGGATATAACGGGCCCCCAGCCTCCACTGAAAACAATAGGTGATATTTAGATTTAAAAAAATCTATATCAAAAAACCCTATTTGGTTGACAACCCTGAGATTAACCCATGGATGTGCGCGTCTATTGAAAGGAACGGGGAATTCTCAGTCGCTTGTTTTTGGTCAGTGTATTTTTTTAGTTGAGTAATATAATGAGGTAGGCCCCTAAGTAGTTTTAGTCCAGGGCCTCATAAATTCACGACCCGCCCCTGCATACAAGATCAAACATAGATAGAAGACAATATGTAATGTGTTTACTGGATTTATATTTAACAACGATAGCTTGTTAAGTATATATCCCTGACATACTAAGTTAAGTATATATCCCTACAACTATTGTAGGACACAGAGGCTTTTTTTTAATAAATTATAGCCAATGCCGCTCACAGATAATATATGTATGTATGTATATATTTAAAACAGCTTTTCTCTTGTTATTATATAAAAATAAAAATAAAATACTCTTCACTTTATAATATTACGCTAGAAGTTAAAAATATTACTACAATTGGCTAGGAATAAGTAAAAATAAGTTGTATAATATATGTAAAAAAAAAATTAATATAAATAAAAATAAAAAATGTATAATCATGAGTTCATATCCATCTCATTTCTACAGAGTTGCCAATCTTACAATTTAAACTCCCTTAAAAGGAGTCCAACTTCCGTAAGCTGGAGAAATAGCAGATTGATGCTGAGATTATGCTCGGGCAGCTATTGGTAGCCACTTGACTACCCCTGTCATTGTCATGAGGTAGGGGTGGCTTGGTGGGGTACTTGCGACAAATGTTTGACAATATCCACCCAGTCCCACCCTCTTGGTTTCTCGCCACCCCTGCCGAGCTCCGCTTTGTCCCACGCCCGTCGTTTTTGCGCTTTTGTTAAGTGTTCTTTCTTCTCTGGCTTCTTTGATGTTTCAGTCTGAAATAATAATTAAACTTTGATATATGGAATAACAGCATATAGCCATAGAGCTTGAGTTATCGCTCTTATGCTCAACAACTTAAGCTCACAACTTGTTTTAATAGAACAAGTGATAAAAATATTGAAATAGAATCAAAACACCCAGAGCGATACAAAACAAATACAAAAGAAATAAACATTTCTTCATTTTTCATATTAGAAAATAACACACATTATATATATACTATATATAATATATATACATACATATATAAATATATAAAAACAGAGAAATTCAAATTCAAAACAACAATGTCATATGCAAAGGATCAAGTCACATAGCAAGAAGGAATACAGGGTAATTAAGTGGAGAGGTAATGTGATTTAACTGAGCTCTTAAAAATTCTTATTTTATATATCTAAATAGCAACGGAATTATTATATACAGCTTAAACATGAATATAGATAAAACTAAATACAATAATATATTACAAATACACTTACATTATCATCTATGACAATCTTTTCAACTCTAGTTGAAACAACCACCTCCTCAGTTTGTTCGGCCAATAATTCCGGAACCTTCTCTTTGAGACATTCAAATAATGTGTAAGTCATTGCACAGCCGAGCCATTGCTCAGCCTCCGCGTTCACCACAGATAATATATTTTCTTTAACTGATGGTAGTCTGTAAATATAGAAAAAATAGTTCTGTGACAAATAAATTAAAAATCCAATTCATTATATAGAACAATAATTCAAAAAAAATTTTTATCCTAATAAATGTGAATTTGTTTTCATTAAATATTCACAATTATTTTTATCTTACTTCTTACTAATAATATAAATGCGAAAATTTGTGAGTATACATGGATGTTTGTTACTCTTTCACACAGAAACTACTGAACTGATTTTTATGAAACTTTACATTAATATAGCTTATACATCAGAATCACACAGGCTATGAATTTCAGATGGGTAAGTAAGTAATAAAAATTACGTTGCTGTGACAGGCTGTCTCCACATATATTTATATAATATAGCTAAGTAGGTACAGTAAATAAATGAAACTTATATTTTGGGGCCTGCTGATGTTATAATTGAACTACAATAAAACAATTTATATCTCACAAAATTAACAACTTCGTACCCGGACTTTGCATAATAAAGAATCATCAGATAATGACACAATTAGTGACCATAGTTTAAGATACACACAATAAAAATAAGCAATCAAAAGTGAAATGTCTTTTTATTTAATATTAAGATTTTTTTTTTATCTATATTTGTACCTCTTTCTAGAGTGCTTATAAAACTGGTACTTTCCTTCACATTATCCTAAAATAATTTCATAGTGTACTAATAGAACTTATACTCACAAATGCTGATTGTAGAAAATTTCTAAGTTCACATTAGGTTTGTCAGTTGGGTATGTCGGGCCCCATGATATTTCTAGAACAAATGACTTCTCCCCGTCTACATACTGAAAAAATAAAAAGAGTTAATTATGTAATTAATAATCTGTTGCATATAACTAGAATATCAAATAAGTAGATTGAATAGTAGTATCACATGAGGTATATATAGAATTACCACAGACAAAATATTTTTTTTACTATCATCTAGTCTAGACTGTCATCTAGTCCCAAGCTAGCCACAGCTTGTGTTATGAATACTAGACGACTGATATATTTTTTTTAAATACATACATAATATATATAGGAAATTTAAGTTCCCCCTGGAAACCATCGTGATAAATTCTTGGTGAATTTGTCTCGATGGGCTAACTGACCTGACCTCATGCTCATTCTTATCATCCTCCACTGGTGCCCCGCCAGCATACACCGTCAACGCAGGCGGGTGCACCATATCATTGTCATCCATAAAAAAAAACCAAATATATATATATGCTCAGTACACCTGTCATGCGTTGTTACTGAAGACTACACTTTCTGTCTACCGTGTAATTACACAGTCACTGTCTTCTAATCAAAATAATGTTTACTAAGGCTAAATTAAGTGAGACTACTGTTGGTAGTATAAAGATCATCTTGGTAGACAGAGACTTGGTATCAATAGACTGATATGGCTTTAGATCATCACCTGGAAAACCACTGATATGACTTAATTATAGTAGTTTGACTGTGATACTTCATAATGGTTGTGGGTTTGATCCCCATACTATAATAATAACCCAAGAAAATTACCACCTACAGACAGACCTATATACATTTTTCGGTAAATGAACACATAATATACATACAAATATTTATATTCCTTAGTATATCTATTTATATTGGTTTGTATTTATAAATAAATGTTTTTAAATCTAACACTTGTACTACACAAATAGTAGGAGTTCTGCTTAACTTAGAACTAAATGCTATATGATTGGTCCAAAGTTAGTTATTAGCTCTTTTAATAAAGAGCTATATTTGTTAACATGCAGTTGTTAATTATAATATGTACCTTATACTGATAGGTTTTTGGGTCACATTGCTTGAAATTCTCATCACCCTCATAGATAGATTTCAGTACTTCAATTTCCTCAACCTGTTGCTCTGCATCATCAGCCATTATATGGAAACTAAAACTAAAAATGCAAGGTATATTTAATTACTGAACAGACCTTTCGCTATTATTGATTTAAATAAAACAATAGAAAGGTAACCATGCCAACCCAAATTAAAGTAATTTGTACAAATTATAAAAATTCTTAACCTAAAAATTGTATATTAAATATGAAACATTTTTTTTATAAAAGCAAAGAACAAGTCCACATACAGTAATAAATAAACAAAGTATGTGGTAATTAAAACACGTTACTGTAGCTTGCAGCTATAGAATACTTACATATCACTTTCAAGAACCAATATCTTGTATAGAATATACGAAGATGTAGTCAGCAAAACATACAAAACGAATATAATTTTAACATTTTTAATAGTATAAAAACGAAATCATTTATTTATTTATGTTTTAGGCTCAAAAGTTTTTAATTTAGCTATAAGTATAGAAATATTCACAATTTGAAATATTAGCATTTAGAAGCAGGTGGCTCAGCTGTTCGCTGTTCGTGGCCAATTCAACTGGTTGTCAAAGTCCTTAATGTCAGTCCAATTGTCAATGTATAGAAACTACGATTTCAATATTTTAATTTTAATGTTTCATTATATAATTCTGTTACAATCTTACCAACCAAGTTGTGTGATTCGCAACTTCAATTCAACTTAAAACTAACGATTGACTGAAAATTATTGCTATTATATCTTGACTAATACAACACCATAAAAATAATTATCATATATTTATAATCTCGTGACTTCATTATACATATACCGCAATACTAACAACTTTTATTTGAAATCTACAAAAGTTTGCGAATATGTATTAGACGTTTCGTTTCACATTGCAAATCATGAAAATTTACCTGCAAATCGAATTTCGAAAATAGAAGGAATTAATATATTGACAAATGAATGATAATCGGACAGCTGGACTGACGGTAAACTGTCAGGTTCCTTCATTATTTGTGGTTTTGACTGTAAAGTACGTTACTTTTACTGTATATCAATATAATTCAAAACTTTTTAATCAAATGTTTTGAACGGTTTCATGTGGAAGAAAATAAGTACGATATTTGATAAATCATGTCTGTAAATAAATGTAACTGTAAAGAAAATCGCCCATTGAACGATGTCCGTTTTGTTTGTAAGTGCTCCGGGAACACGCAAAAAATGGCCATGGACAGTTTTAAAGTGCCAGCCGTACCAGTTAGTCGTCCACTACAAAGTAACATGAAATTAAATATAAATGATATGAAGGAGTCCACGTGTAGCAAGGCAGACCCTAACAAAAAGGATGATAAGAAAAAATCGTGGACCATATCTGATTTCGATCTCGGCAGACCGCTCGGTAAGGGGAAATTTGGCAATGTTTACTTAGCACGAGAGAAGGAATCGCACTACGTCGTCGCGTTAAAGGTGCTATTCAAAAGCCAAATACTAGATTCCGAAATCGAGCATCAGGTGCGACGCGAGGTGGAAATCCAGTGTCGTCTCCGCCACCCCAACATACTGCGCATGTACGGTTACTTCCATGACGAGAAACGCATATATCTGATCCTCGAGTACGCCAAACACGGTGCTCTCTATAAACTGTTGAAGGAACGCGGGCGTTTCGATGAAAGAACTGCAGCTATTTATATTAGAGACCTAACTAAAGCACTGATGTATTGCCACACAAAGAAAGTCATACATAGAGATATTAAGCCTGAAAATTTGCTAATCGGCCATAATTGGGAGCTAAAGATTGCTGATTTTGGTTGGTCAGTCCACTCTCCGTCTTCCCGAAGGATGACATTGTGTGGAACACTAGATTATTTGTCTCCAGAAATGATAGATGGAAAACCACATAGTTATGCCGTTGATATATGGTGCCTGGGTGTGCTTTGCTATGAATTACTTGTTGGTCTGCCTCCATTTGATGCTAAAGACACACACCAAACTTATAGAAAAATAAGATATGTAATTATAAAATATCCAGAATATGTTTCAGATAAAGCAAAGGATTTGATGGGCAAGTTACTAGTTATAAATCCGGAACAGAGATTGCCATTAACGCATGTCTTGCAACATCCTTGGATAGTGGAAAATGCCCCCGAGGGAGCTCAACCAACCTCACACAATCCAGCACAGATGTCTTGATGAAAACTTGACAAATTATAGAAAATACAAAATTTTTAATGATATTTTAATCATATTGAAATGTGTATAATTAATAATTATGTATTGTTAGATTATAAAAAAATAGTTATAATTATTTTAATATGATTTATTGATTCACTTAATTTTGATTTACAGATAATGTTTAAGACAAAAAATACACTTAAAATAAATGACTGAATGACTAGATATTTATTACAGAATTAAATTAATACTAGATAGTGTGTTGTAAGTAATTTGAATACAATATCCTAAAATAGATTATTGTTTTTTATTTTTCTTCATATAGTAAATATCCATTGCATATTTGTCGAAGTATGGATCCCTTTTAACAACACAATTCCAATGAATTACTTCGCCAATTAGGCATATACAACTCAAAAAGTAACCAGCAGCTAATGCTATAAAAGCGCCATATAGTTTCCTCAAATTCATAAGAGCTTTAATTTCCTCCTCATTTAATTGGAGGGATTTTATCGGATACATTGCATCGTTCAGCCATTTCTCTACTAAACCTACTTCGACGATTCTCCTCAAATATATATCAGCTAAAGGTTTCAATGGGGAATTCTTATGGAAACCTATAGATATAGGTATGTTTACAACACAATCGGACATTATATGTAAATTCCTTTCCGAATCACTGCTAGCAACTTCAACGTCTGTAATATTCATTGTATCATTAAACGAATCCCTCTCCACGTTTATCAAGCTATTCTTTCGTTTAACGCTAATGTATTTGAGAAAATCTTCATTGTCGTAGTAAGCGTAAACGCCCCTTGAGACTTTATTAGCTGCCTCAAAAGGGTCGTTAATCACTTCGAATCTATTTCCTATTGTTTGTATTTCATCAGTGGACTCTTCAAAGAACCTCTTAGTCTCTGTGCCCCATCCACCACATGTTACCTTGCTGTCCACGAGTTCTTTTAACGTGTCTATGGTAACTCTAGGCGCTGGGTTTGCCAAAATGGCGGTCATGCTGGCTCGGTATGAGACTACGAGGAGTATGCAGTAAAGCCAATACCATCCAGTCAGTAACCGTATGGACCAACCGGTAGGCAGTTTCGGTAAAGACACCACGAGAAGCATTCCGTATGTATACAGGATGCTGTTAATTATTTGTCCAAACAGATACAGCCCGACTGGTTTCGCATCTGCAAAAGCAAACTTGACTCACTGCTTTGCACTGTGGTCATTGACATGAACGTATCACGTTCATGAAGTGAAGCAGTATATTATAACACATCCCATAGTCGCGGGTTCGAATCTACATACAATACATACGTTTGTATTCACAGAGATGACTGTATTGGTATTGGTTGTATGTTTTTACATAAAAATAATATATGTTTGTTATTTTGTAAGGTCAGTTCTCTGCTACTCATAGTTTCCTTTTTTTATTATCGGAATAGAATAGCGTAGTATTATATGTATATTCTAGGATATTTACTTGTTTTATAAACATCTTCCTTTTAGAACTAAATATTACACGGGTTACCCATAATACGCAAATATTAAAACGATTCTATTTTCTTGTAGATATATATAGATAGATAGATACGTATCTATTATATCTATACGACACAGTCGTTAACGGACTGATTTTGATGATTCACTTCGTTTACTTCCAGTAATAACTCACATCAGCCTACTAACTTTATAACAGTTCAGATAAGCTTTTTTGTTATCTCTTAGTTATCTATATCTTAAATTTTTGATGTTTTTGTATCAATGTAAAATGAACTACAACAACAACTGTTGTTTGTTGTTGTTGTGTTGATCGACCACTTGATTTTTTTTATACTACGATGGTAGCAAACATGCATTTTATTGAAGACTAGCAGTTATCCGCGTCTTCGCCCGCGCGGAATTAAGATATAAATATGTATAAAATTTCTAAAATAAATGTAGCCTATGTTATTCAACAAGCAAGGTGCTTGGCGGTTCTAATAGGTCACTCAGTATTTTCTGTTAATAAATATTAAACAGTTTACCATTTGTATCGTCGCTGGCAATATTTTGGTCGTTTCCTAGCCTGTTGTACTTCTTATACTCTTGTAGGTTCATATAATATCTCGCCAGTCCGTAGAATATAGTGCCAGTAATTAACAAAACTAATAACACAGCTATCCACATATACAAACTGAAAGAAAGCAAATGTTATGTATGTATACACTTATATATATTATTTATTTGTCCAAACAGATGTGAAACAATTATAAACGAGAAATTTGTGAGTATGAATTTATAACTCTTTTGCGTAAAAACTACTACACGGATTTTAATGAAACTTCACAGTAGGTAATATAGCTTATACACATAGACTATATATATTTAAAAAGATATTCTGAAAATTGGGCGAAATAAATATCAAGTAAGTGTGATGTAGACGAAGTTGCGGGGAACAGCTAGTGTTATATAAATAGGAATGTATATAAGACAGTAATAAATCTGCATGAATAAATTTTAAATTAGATTTAGATTTTAACAGTTCCCAAGGTGGCTGTAGACACGACATGAGGTCTTTCAGAGAGTAACCCGATATTCTTATCACTACGACTGATTTAATCTTATTGTGTTTTTATATTTGTGCCTAAATAAATTAGTGCTGGTTGGTAGTTTGTATTCACACGTTTCGACTTGTAAAATGTGAACTTACAAATATTGTTTAAAAGAGCAACACACAAGTTTCTTGCTTATTCTTCTTGTGATGAGACAGCCTTCCGAATAAGCGGTAGATTTAAAAAAAAAATTGGTGACTATTAAAAAGTGCTTGAATTAAGTTTATTTGAATAAACGATTTTCTATTCTATTCTATTCCCCTATTTTCATTGTAGCTCAGTGTATGTATTACCAAATTAACTTTTTATTTATAACTAATAAAAGTAAAAGGTAATCAGTCTATCAGTCTATGGACCATTTCTAAAGAGACTACAAAACTGTGCGTGACAATTAAATATCTGTTCGTTCCACCATCCGGGCTGGTGGCTGCGTGGGGGGCCGTCTGGTAAGATCCATATGGTATGGTTGAACGCAATGGTGGCTGTCTCTGATGAGCCATCACGTAGCAGATGCTATAGACGTGTATGGCATTTGTTTGCTACGCTTTCACGCTATTTAGGTTTTTTATATCGGCCAGATATTAATTCACGACCGTCTAATACTGCTTTGCTCAAATTTATATATATTTTCTACTACGATGGCGGTAAACAAGCATATGACAAACAAACATACAATAGACATGCATTTGACAGCTTTGGTGGTCATGTGGTTTAGCATACTGCTTTACTATTTTGGTCGCGGGTTCGATTCCTCGCACGGTATTTATATGATTATGATTGTTTGTCCGATACAAAGTGTGTTCTATATATAAAATGTATTTATTAAAAAAAATGTATTCATGTATTTATATCAGTTGTCTAGTGCCCATAATACAAGCTCTGCGGATCTTGGGACTAGATGGCGCTGTGTGAATTGTCCTGAGATATTATTAGTATTATATGACCTATCAGATGGCAAATAATTACCGTAGCTTATGGACGCCTGAAATACAAGGTGAGTCACGTGCGCGTTGCCGACCCTTAAGATATACTCTTGAAAAAATGCTGTAGTCTCGCGAGAAAACCTCGGCAGGTAGTTCATTCCACAATCTAAGTGGGGATTGTTAGTAATATGGATTAATAACTTCATTACTAGCAATGTGCCATGTCAGGTTGACCTCCACGCGGTTCCCCCTGGAAACCATCATGTTAAATTCCCGTTGAATTTACCACGATGGGCTAACTGACCTGACCTCATCAGCTTTCATCTTCTCATTCTAGTAAGGTGCCCCGCCAGTGCAACATTCCATTATCATCCCTTATTAAAAAATTGGTACTCGTAGGTACATTTATCCTTACGTGAATGGCAGTATCAGAGTTTTCCAAGAATTATCTGTCAGGGCCTCAGGGGTGATGAAGGTCCAGCATTGCGAAGTGTATGGAATACTCAGATCAGTCAGCTCCAAGTGATACGGGTTGTATTGGAGGTTGCCCAGCGCTAGATCAGCATTGCCATTCAGCATTTCACCTAGAAGCCCCGAGAACGACCCGTTGGGTAGCTTCGTGCCCCATTTGTGGAGGTCTGCGTTGATGGGCTGGTACAATTTTGGTACAAAGTTCATTTTTTCGGATAGTGTGTTCAGAATCTGAAATAATTTACAATCTACAGATATAAGTGCAGAATTGCATCTTTACATGGAGAGATTATCTACCTTAATACCATAATGCATTTTCTCTCAGTCAACCATAGCAAACAGAGATTAATTGTACATAGAAAATACTCAGACCGAACAGTCGTACTCATGAATACAAATGTCTGCATCATGCGAAGAATTCAACCCGCGACCAACCGAAGTAAAGGGCTAAACTGCTGAACAAATATGGTTCTCAGTCATCAAATGTCTAGTACTCATAGCACAAGCTCTGCTTGATTTAATGTAATCCTGAACAATTGTCCAGGGTTATTATTATTATAATCTAATCATATAAGAGTTAAAGGTACAGAGGTAAATCCAGTTTATGGTAATATCTTACTTCAATTTCAACTCCCCCAACCTTGTCAGAATCGTTCGACTTGGTCACCACAACTGATGGTACATGGTCTAGATAAACCACGTCAAGCACCTCCCCGTTGAGATTACTAGTTTTGTCTGCGAACAACGTCCTGTTGTAATGGAATCTGCCATTCCTCCATATATCTACCCTCCTGGACACGAATATTTTCTTTATCGGATTAGGGAAAGGAACGGTGGAGAGGTCAAACCAGGCTTTGCTCTTTAGGATGCCAGTGATTTTGTTGTGGTAACGAAGAAAAATGACGTTTACAATCCTCTTCCATAGGTAGTGAAGATCGCTGTGGAACAAACGGTAGTCGTGCAGCATTACATACTTCGCTCTTGTGTCTAAGATTCTGTATCTGTAAAAGAAATTAGTAGGGACAGTAATTCAGTGTTATTTCCACAACAAAAAATACACTTTTTATTCAATGTCTATCTTGATGTCATATATCTGAAATTACAAAGAATCTGACAAAAAAAAATGAATAGCACGGATAGTATCGTCATCAAGGAACGGCCCTGGTATCTTCATGCGTTGCCATTCAGGAGGACATCAGCCTCTGTACCCGTAATTTCACTGCTAAAAACAACACTTCAACAGAACCATAGTTTACAGGCTGCTTGGCCACTGCAATAAATGGAAGAGATCGCTTTTTAGCAATAAGACCTCCCATTGTTACCTCTTTGTCTTGTTTGAATTTTTTATCATTTTATACATAATTGTATTTTCTCTGAGAGGAACAATAAAGAGTTTCATTCATTCATTCATAAACGACAATAGATTCTGTTCTTATAGAAATATCAAAAGTAAACACCAAAACATTGATATTACGTCATAATTCAGTACAGCATCTACATTCTTGACAACATAAATGGCGGGAAACAATGAAAGGATTTTCTAAGATATAGATACTCGCCTGTCACCAAACCTCAGCAATCTTGACGTCTGCAGACCATTTGCCAGAAGAATAACGTATGGATCACATCCCTCTTTCCTCGCTTCTCTCAAAGACTCTAAGGTATCAAAATTCGGAGAAAGCAAGTCTTCATACTCTTCCACCACGATCTAGAAAATGTTTCTGTTGAGTAATGAAAATTTGGTTCCACTTCTTGTAATTGTAACACAAATGGAGCATCAGAATTGAAATACACTTATAATTATACAATTATGATAAAATTTTAAGGTGAAAAGACAACAATGCAAATCAGTATAAAGCTACAGATAAATCTGCAGCGCTGATATTCTGTTGGCTCCTTTAATCTAAATATATATAACTCAAAGATAACTGACTGACATAGTGATCTATGAACGCACAGCCCAAACCACTGGACGGATCGGGCTGAAATTTGGCATGCAGGTAGAGGATATGATGTAGGCATCCCCTAAGAAAGAATTTTGATAAATTCCACCCATAAAGGTATAAATTAACGTGAGCGTAGTTGCGGGCAAGAGCTAGTTAATAAAAGATAGTTATATATGTATTAAACTTCGAGCTCTTTAATAACTGAATGAAATGTAAATACGATGAAGTCAATGTATCAAGTTATTTTTGAAAGTATAGCTTCTGACATTTTTAATGGAAAGTGTACCTACCTTCCCCACGTATACTGACCATTACTATAGGCATATCATACATTCTCTTATAAAATGCACCATCAAACACGTTCAAGTACACTGCGTCACATATAACTGCGATGCATTTGACGTCTTCCTGCTGGAGTGAGTCTTTAAGCACGTCGATCAGGACCAACTGGAGGTCTTTGTTTCTCTGAATACCCTTCAGTATGGGGACCATGTTTGCATTAGTGCTGTAAATATATTTTAGAGGTGAAGGGGATTGTTAGTAACGTGGATTAATAACCACATTTCTGATAATGCACCATGTCAGGATGACGTGGTTCCTACTGGAAACCTTCCTGATAAATTGGCTTTTGGCAAGATGGACTAACTGACTTGACTGCTCATCCTATTATTCTCCACTGGTGCACCGTCAGTGTAAACCGTTAGCGCAGCCAGGTGCACCATTCCATTATTATCCATAAAAAAAAACTCCGACCATAGCCCTCTCCATCGCTCTCTGAGTGACTTGAATATAGAAAATAGAACATTATTATACTTACACTCCAATAGTTAAAACACTAAACATAATTATTATCAACATCGCCATATTACGATTTTAGTTCGAAACTTAAATATATTACTTCTAGTTTGAATATTAGATTCTAGATTTTAGTACACATCTACAAAGTTACTCCGTGTAGGTATCACTTGTTTGATCATCAATAATATAAAAACAACTATTAGTAACTTCTAAAACATTGACTATGAACATTTATGCATCTATCTACTAATACCATGTTTCGATTCGATTACCAGTGTTTCTCAAAGTGTGGATTGGGTGGGCCAAGATTCTTAACCATTTTGCTCGCCCAGTGCCGGTTTTAGCTCTACCAGCACCCTGGGCGAGATTCATACGGCGCCCCCCTCCCCCTTATTTTAGTCGCACCTGCAAACCCATTCGAAAAAACTGGCCAAGCACGATTTGGATTCGCACAAGCAAACAAAAAATAATTTAAAGTGCTTACTTTATAGGCAGGCAAATACGATTATATCATCGAGGTAAGCAAATATTTATATATAGACACCTATTTTTTTTAAAGATTTTCATTTTGCAGATTTATTTCTTGATTGTGATCTATAACGAAGTTACTTGCCAAATCTTTTTGCCAAAATTGCACTGGGCGGTCGCCCAACCGCGCCCTACCCTAACTTTTTTTTCGGACTACTCTATGCTGTTGGCCGTAGCTGGCCTTTACAGCTTCACCAGACGTTAGGGGGCGAGTGCAGATGGCACTCCAAACCCGCGGAAGGACTTATGGAGCGGCTGAAGGCCAACTCCTGCCTGACGGATACGAGCCCTACCCTAACGTCGTTACTGTTCTCGCCTATATATGCATTCAGAATATAGCAGTAGAATAAAAATATTGTTGAAATATTAAGTTCGTATAAAGATTGGATTCTATTCTATTTATATAAATAAGGCTAAAGGTATTAAGTTTGAGAAACACTGCATTAGAACAGTAACTGACGGGTCTCATTATAAATGTAGATTCGATTTTGTTAGCGCGTTTTGTTAAAGCAAAACCGGGATACGAAATTAGTGTTCTTTATTTATTATGTACAGACATACATCTCTTTCAAATTAGGTATTCAGACTGATTTATTTTCAATTAGAGATAATTGGGTAACTATAATGTATTTTTTGTAGAAGAAAATCTAACTTGAAATTCATAGCGCTGACAATGTTATCTGACTAAACAAAGATTGAGTGACGTTTCTATGTTGATTGTAGCATGCCTAATCCTTGTTAATGTTTATTTACTTAGAACAACATTTAGTTAAAAGAGCAACACGCAAGTTTCTTGCTCATTCTTCTTGTGATGAGTCTGCGTTCCGAATGAGTGGTAGAATAAAAAATGTGACTATTCAAAAGTGCTTATATATTAAGTTTATTTAAATAAAGATTATTTCAATTTAAAAAGCGGTTAATAAGTAGTCTGTTCAAATCCGGTCGATACCAAATAACTTCTTCAACTTATATATTTGACAGATTCTCCGATGATGGGAACACCGGTAACAAACCAAATTAATTCGTTCAACAAACCAAACTAGTCTCGATCCATAACAATATATTATATGATATATTCGAGCGAGCGAGCCTAAGGAAAAGAAGCAAGATCAGTATTTTCGAAAAAAATTACCCGTTTTATTTTATAAAACATTTATTAATAAAATCCCTGTATAACAATATTTCTCTAATATATAGATTCCCTTGTATATATTAATAACAAATACCCAACAAGCAATAAATTGTAAAACAAATCTAATAAAATTATAGGAAATAAGCATCATTATAATATCAATGTTAATATACATTTTCTAATTATACAAAACAAAGTACCTACATTCTGTCTGTTTGTTCGTTTACATCAAACGTTTAGGAAAAGTGGAGAAATCGAATATAGTGATTCTCAATTGAACACTTTTATTATGAAGTGAGCGCATTGTATCGTAATTTTACCTCCCTTTTTTGTGTCACCTCTATATAGTACCAACGTGAAACCGAGGTGCATCGCTTATTATTATTATCTATACATCTATACATATAAATAAAATTGGAGTGTATGTTAGTAATATTGACATAATAGTTTTTTACTACATGCATATGAATATAAATACGGTACATACACCAAAACATCATTTTTTACAATTTTTGTCTGTCTGTCTGTTTGTTCCGGCTAATCTCTGAAATGGCTGGACCGATTTTCACGGAACTTTTTTTGGCAGGTAGCTGATGTAATAAGCTGTAACTTAGGCTACTTTTATTTTAGAAATATAAAGTTAAATTCCACGCAGACGAAGTCGCGGGAACAGCTAGTATTATTTTTTTTTTACGAGTATTAAAATGGTATTAATGTATATAGAATTTAATATAAAGTGTTGATAAAGAAAATTACACTAATATAAAATTGAGCAATATCCTTATAACTATATGTATAAATATATATACTAGCGTCATATTTATTAAAGGCAAAGTAGGGTTTAGAAATCTACTGAGTATAAAAGTGGAACATACAAAAGTATGTATATAACATAGTAGGAACAACAATAGTGGTCTAAAACGGTTATTAGTGTCATGTACACACAATCCGAAATCCACAAATAAAAAAAAAATAGAATTTAACTAGATTTAGCCTGCTCTGCGGTGGACATTTAAATTTCGTTATTTAAATTATTAACCGGATCTTAACACGAATAATTTTATTGCAAATAAAGGTATTTACCTCTCTCTAGATTGAAATTAAAAAACATCCCAATTTCAACAGAGAGGATGGCTTAAAATTATCATCTGCGTGGAATCCAGTCATAAATAAATTCAAGCAAAGTTCAGTAGCATCAATAGTCAATAAGTGTATGGATACCGTGAGTGCTGTGTGTCGCGAACTTTCGTTAAACAATCTAGTGACGGTAGATGAAAAACTGCTGTCACCTATCTACATTGACATCGCTGTTGCTCCAGTCAGCTCGTGACCACGGCTAGTGCAACCTAGTCGAAACATCGAGAGAGGTAAATACCTTTATTTGCCATAAAAGTATTCGTGTTAAGACCCGGTTAATAATTTAAATAATCTATATTAAACACGAAAGTTTAAAAGTAACTATTTAAATTTCGACTAAAAATCGGAATGTCCGGTAAAAATCAGGACGTCTGGTGACGCTGACATTTATATATAAATAATGTTTTTCATATATACATAATCCAAAAAAAACTAGATTTAACCTGTCCCGCAATGGACATTTAATTATGGTCTAAAAATAGGGATTTCTGACCAAAATTAGGACATCTGTTAACATTGACAAATACAATTTTTTTTTCTTAGCACCATTATAGTACATTGATCACAGATTATAACATCAAAAATAATTTTTTTTTTATAAATACATAATATATACATAAAACAAAAGAAACGAAACAAGACATTGGCTACAAGATGTAGATGTACAATTTAGAGTTTGGCGGGTGTGTACGATCGCCAGTAGACAACGTCCTTCCACCACTCCGGCCTCTCCAAAGCACCAGGGTAGGTCATCACGCTGCTCTGGATATGTTTATACGCCTGCAACAAATGACATATAATGTATCTCAAGACAATTCACACAACGCCAACTAGTACCAAGCTAAGCAGAGCTTGTGTTATAGACACTAGAGAACTTATATAATTACTTAGATATTTATCTCTCTGGGTGATTTCTATGTACCTATATATATTTTTTTGACCCTGAACAATTCATAAGACATCATCTAGTCCGACGGTAAGCCATAGCTTATATTATGGGTTCTAGAATAAATCTACATTTTAAGGGACTAAGGCAGGGTAGGCGAGCCAATGGCACGCGACACAATATTTTGGGCACGTCGTCGATCATAAAACTGTTTGAAGAAGCTGGCTCAAGCTATTTTAACAATATTTTCACCTACCTATTATCAGAGATGAATAACATTAAAAATTCGGTTAGAAACCGTTGACAGATGGATCCAGTTCAGCATGCATTTTGCTAAAAGTAACATGGTACAAGCCTGACATAAATTATTTGTAATCTAACCTGCAGCAACAGAAGTCACACTAATTTTACAGCAATTTAATTTATGCGTGTAATGAAAACAATCCAAATGTACCTCTTTTATTTACTTTATAATAAATACTATCAAAACTCTCTATGAAGAGTTTTGATAGTATTTATTATTATTATTTTCCAAATAATCAGAAAGTCAAAATTATTTGATCGCACGTCAATAACCAAATTAAATATTTTTTGGAAAAAATGGCATGTTGATGCATAAAGGTTCGCCTACCCTGGTCTAAGGGAACCCTCTAAGGGTCTTCAAAATTAGGGCCGGTATTTGGTGGACCGCTAGCTTGTCAGGTTTTCCAAACAATTCTATTTACATAAGAAAAACAGTTACCTCTCCATCCGATTTTCCAAGAACAGACTTAAGGCACCAGTCCGGAGGGGCCAGAGTATCCACCAGAGCGACTGCATCGGGCGCAACCTGGGAACACAACCGCAGGATGCCGTCCCGGAGGAGCAGACCCTGGGGCCCAGACAAGTATCCTCCCTGCAGGCAAGAAAGTCACAGTTTTTTTTTTAATCTACAGTTTATGGATTTTTATTAATACTTGACATTCATGATCTACTGAAACATCCTACATAAAATTAAATATTATTAAATAATTTAATTTGCACTTACAATATACAATGTTGCCAGATGTTTTTCCAATATAAACGCGCCGTACAGTGATACCAGCCTCAGTAGAACACGCCTGCATGAGACATCTTCGAATATCTTCACTGTGTTGTAGAAATGATTTAGTACATGGTTCTGAAATAAAACAGATAGATAGACAAGCACCTCATTTATATGTTATAGGTTCAATTACAGCATGTTACATTGCATATCCCTATAGATAGAGATAGAGTTGAAGAGCAGAATTTAAACGGGCCGAAGAACTTTTTTGTTAGGTAGAATTCTAAGTTGTTTTTTATGTTTTGTTAATTGTTAATTATAAACACAAATTTGTCACGTACATGTCGTAAAATAAATAGATTATAATGTATTATATACAATGTAACTGTGTTGGTGTAAATCTTATTGGTGACCTAATAAATAAAAAAGGAATGAACGTGGCCGCAATGTATGGATATCAATAATAATATTCTTGTACAATTTACACAGCGCCATTTTGTCCCAAGTTAAGCAGAGCTGGGTATAGGTACTAGATAACTGATATAAATACATGTGACTTTTTTTAGTAAATATATACATATAAAACATCCAAACCGATACAAACAATCATACTCATGAATACAAATGTCAGTACCGTGCGAGGAATCGAACCAGCGAAAATCGGAAATTTGTGAGTATAGATGGATGGATGTTTGCTATATTTCACGCAAAAACTACTAAATACAATTTAATGATACTGTACAATAATATAGCTTATACATCATAACACATAGGCTATAAATCTCACGCAGATGAAATCGCGGGTAAAGCTAGTACAATAAGAAATACAAAATGTCAAATTACAATGTTTTTACCTCTCCATAAACAACAGACAGTGTGACTGCATTATACGCCTGCGAGTCGTTCTTAGCCTGGAAGTTGTCTCTGCCCTCTTCCTTGAGTTTGGAGACTTTCTCGTACGTCATCTTTAGGGTGTATGCAGTCAGCCATTTGTACATATGAATTATATCTGCAATAGAAATAACCTTATTAATATTATAAACGCGAAAATTTAGGAGTATGTATGAATGGTTAGATGTATGTATGTTTGTTATTCTTTCACTCAAAAACTACTGGACAGATTTAGACGCAACTTTACTAATTAAACTATGTAATATAACTTATATCTACTAAATTACTAATTATACTAAATTACATAGTATAGCTTTTACCTACATCGGAATAACAAATAGTGTATAAACTTCATGCGGCTGAGATCATGGGTACAGCTAGTTATAGAATAATTACTTTAGTAAAATTCAAGGTATTCCTTGTGGGTCTGGAGTCTGAACTAGGTCGAAACCTACAGATACAGAACTACTACAGATCTCCAGGTTCTCTCCAGGGTAGTATTACAATATGACTTAAACTAACTCTATACATCCAATGAGATACAGAAATAAAGCCACAGATAATTAAAATACTCACTGCTGGGTTCAATCATCTCATCAATAGTGTTCCACTGACACTTCTCCTGTAGAAGTCGGTCCACGTTCTCCAGGAAGCCGAGGGTGCCCATCGGCGAGTCGTCAGCCGTGATCTCATCGCGGCGTCTCCATACGTTCAGGAGCCAATTGCTGGCCTGCTGCAGGAGGAGGCTGTTCTCGCCTTCGTACGTGCAGTTCGCGTCGTTGTCATTCCGGATATCGCCTAATCCCGAAGCTGGAAGCATGATAGGTTTAAAAGTAGTGATATATTAATAGTGGGACCTAGAGGTCCCATAGCTAGCAATGACAGATTATAAACAAGCGATCATTCTGTAAATAGAAATATTCTTTATATGAGTAAGGAATATTTCTATTTATTTAAATTGTAGTTTTGTAAGATATATAACTTGTTTTCATAATAAAAAAAAGAACTTACCTTTGAGGTATCCGTGCCCACCGCACGCTTCTCTACAGTTCTGTATGCCGTCGCGGGCGGTCCAGCCCAGTGCCGGCTTCACAGCTGATGACAGAGCATGCATCTCCATACCACGCTGAGCAGCCAGATTGTCGCTAGCTGGAAATTGTTTAAGAAAACAATGATTTATTATTAGAGTTAATATTTTTTATAAAACTTAAATAGATAGATTTACTATTATTACTATAAAGTTCAAATTGAATACATACTTCCCATAGCGCTGTTGATCACTATGTTGACGTGTGTCTCCCCTAGCCAGGCGGAGAACACTCTCATTGCATATGTAGCAGCCAAGTACGGCAGCAGTCTGATTTGCTGTAATAAAAATTACATAAATTAATTAATTCTAAATTCTAATTCTAAAAGCTTATATATTACTATGTGCTGTAGCGCTGTGCAGTAGTACGTAAACGTTACGCTCACAGCATCAGCCCTTTTTGCCCAGAATGTGTAGTATGAGGTCTTTATAGTTTTTTTTTTACAGTGTGCGAATTCAAATGTATATATATGTTTCTTGTTCTGGCAATAAATAAATAATATCATTATTAAAAAAAGATATATTATTAACAACCTAATAGAAGGGGAAGTTCAAAAAGAAGAATTACCTGCTGCTGATATTCAATCACCGGCAGCTCCTCCGTGGAGTTATCTGGTCCGAATTGCTTCCTCACGCAGGAGTATCTGACTGCGATCACGATAGCCTTCTGTAGGTATGTTGTTATTATTCCTGTTATGTGGACACGACCACCTAAAGAACAATTTTAATTAGTGTAATATTATATTCCATTTCCGTATTTAGGCTGCTGATATAAAGACGGTTAGATGTCAGGTTACCCGAAAACAATTAACGTTCTGATGGTATTGGATTTCTCCAAAAGAGGTAGGGTGTAACAACCTTACTCAGTCAACCAGACTGGCCAACTGTGTATCAGCGGCCTTAATCTAACATTTGTACTTAGCTTTTTTACATGTGAGGAATATATTACCATGTTTTATTTTCTGTCCCATATAATTTGGGATCTTCAGAGTCTATATTTATAGTTTTCTTTCAAACAAGTAAATATTTACCGGATAATATGCCCATAGCAGCCCCGAAACGTTTGCTAGGATCCCTGATCGGCGTTTTGTATTCACCATCATCATCAACTCCGCCCAATTTGTCCAAAGCCGCTTCCTTCGGCAGGTGATAGTTATTAAATATAACGAATCTGTAAAGATTTTTTCTGAGTCCAATTATCTGAATTATTTTAATTATAATTTAATTTCTTATTATATGCTTAATACAGTCATTTTCTAGTGGTACTTGTTGAGAAACTCTTTTGAAATTAATATATTAAAAGTTTATATTTGTATTCTCTAATCAAAAACTATAAAATAAAATTAAAAAACTATAAAATGTCATTTCACTGTCTCTACTATTATTATTAAAATATTTATCACTTTATAAATAGTTTTACTATATATTTCTACAAGAGTAGTGATTTTAATCACATAATACACACATTTGTATTCATCTATGTACATACATATCTGTTTGTATTGGTCTTATTATTTTCTATGCATAACATATATTAAAAATATATTTGCTAAATATATCAATTGTTAAGTAGACAGATGTGGTCATAGAACATAATATAAGCCCTGTTTAAATTTTCTACTAGTAATACTACCAGAAAGTATTGTCATGTCAAAGTGGTATTTGTGAAAGGGTGCTGCTTGTGGTGACTGATCTGTCGGGGTTACGAACATTTATTAGACTATTTGCTTGGGCAATAGCATATACTGGTGGTCACTCTATTCTCCCAAATTTGAATTTAAAAATGAATCTGTATTATTGTAAACATGAACAACATTTATTTTAAAAGAATACGAGCTGAGTTTCTTGTCAGTTCTTCTCATCTCGATATCATTCCGAACTGACGGTAGATTTGACATATCATAAGAGTCTGTAATAGACCTACATGAATAAAGATATTTTGATTTTAACTTATATTACTTTTTATTAAAAAAATCTACAGCTGATTCTTTTTATTTTCAATTCAAAACCCAATAAATATAATTACCCTTCCGGGTTCCGGTTCCGGTTTTCTAACTATAAACACGTACGTCAGTGAGCTCAGCCATTAATAATAAAAATCAGTGGAAAAAACAGTCAAACTCTCATAAAACAGTGATCATTTTGCACTAAAATCAGAAAAGTTTGTGATTTATAAAAAAATACGGTGTAATAATAGTGTTATTGAGAAAAATAAGAACTACAATTGTGGTTAACATAACCTAAACAGTGACATTTGACAGTGACACAGCACCAGAGATCATAGATTATAGAAGACTTATCAATACTACCAACATTACGGCAATAGACCGACACTCGTAGTGTTGCCAGCTTCTACCTCCGTATACGGCTAAAATAGACTAAAATTAATATGGAAAAAAGTATGGATTTACTATTTTCAAAATTAGAGGAGAAACTTAATCTACAAGCTACAGTAATATCTACTGAGGTCACAAAAAATATAATGCAAGCCTTAGATGAGAAGATGAAATCACTTGTAACGGAAAATAACACCCTAAAATCAAGAATTACAAAGTTAGAAGAAAAAATCAACTTTATGGAAAGGGATAAAAGAAAAAATAATTTAGTATTTTTTGGTATAAAAGAGGAAGGACAAAGTGAAACTGAATTAGTGGATCAATTAAAAGAAACAGTAGTAGATATGGGGATACATTTGGAAAGCCAAGAGATAGCAAATATATATAGAATTGGTCGCCCTTCAAACAAAAATCGACCAGTAGTAGTGTCCTTTACAACAAAATGGAAAAAACACCTTGTGCAACAAAACAAGACTAACCTTCCGCAAGGCATCTATCTTAAAGAAGACTATTCTAGAGAGGTACTCGTGACCAGAAAGGAACTTCAACCGAAACTGGAGGAGGAAAGAAAGAAGGGAAACATAGCTTACTTAAAGTACGACAAGCTGATAGTAAAGAAAGCAAATGAAAATAATCGTGAGAAGAGGAAAAGAGATAAATCAGAATCACCAGTTACAAAAAATTACACCAAGAAGCAGCTGACTAACAGCAGTCCAAACTCAACCATCATGTCATCGGTAAATGCTGCAAAAGAAATACTAAAACCAAATATACTAAATTATATGGCACGTGGAAGATCTTATTCCTTATCAGAATCATCAAAAAACTAACAAGTAATGCCGGCAACTGGAACACAAACAATAAAGAATTACTAACACCAAATAAAACAACATTAACTTGCACCCCAAGCCGGCTGGTCACCGTGGGGGAAGAAGACTATCACCCTCCAACAAATGCTAAGAAACAAAACAGAAATATATTAAACAGGATAAAAAGAGAACAAACCTTAAAAATATGCACATACAATGTAAGATCACTTGCTACAACATCGAGATTTTTGGAACTCAACAATGCGATTAAACATATAAATTGGGACATTATAGGCCTCGCAGAAGTGAAAAAAATTGGTTGTCGTATAGAGGAACACAAAGACTATATCTTCTGCTATATAGGCGAAACAATTGGATTACATGGCGTGGGCTTTCTAATAAAGAAATCGTTTAAGTCGGACATCGTGAATTTTGTGGGTATCTCCGAGAGAGTAGCATTACTTAAACTACAATTGAACAACATACCACTATCTCTAATTCAAGTTTATTCTCCTACCGAGAGCTCCAGCGAAGAAGAAATGGACAAATTTTACAATGACTTAAAGACAGCACAAGAATTAGCTGATAAAACCTTAATAATTATGGGAGACTTCAACGCAAAAATAGGACATCCACAGCCGCACGAAAATATAATAATGGGAAAATATGGATACGGAAAACGTAATAAGAGAGGAGAACGTTTAATACAGTTTGCATATGAAAACAAATTATCAATAATGAACACTTATTTTATCAAGAAAAAATCAAGAAAGTGGACGTGGTTATCTCCAGATCAAAAAACAAAAAATGAAATAGACTTTATACTAAGTCACAACCCAAAATCAGTAGCGAACATAGAGATACTCAACAATCTTAACTTCCCATCTGACCACAGAATTGTAAGATGTTCTCTAAAAATACAGACATGCAAAGCTAGTCGCAGGACATTCAAGTCCATACCCAACATGCTAAAGTACACTTATGAGAAAAATAGCTACATACAAAACCTAAAACAGAACTCAACAAAGTTATACAAATCTATGGAGAACTCGGACAATATACTAATACTAAGTAACGAATTAGAAAAAACAATCTCAAGAAGCCTTATACTCAGTGAAAATAAAAGATGCGATGGTAAAAAGGACAAAATTATTAGTGAAGAAACATTTAATCTCATTTCCGAAAGAACAAAATTACTGAAAAGTAAATTAAAATCTAAAGAAAGGAAAGAAAAATTAAAGCAGCTGTTTAAAAATTGTAACAGAGCAATTAGAAAAGACTATGAATCATACAGAAAATCAGTTATAGAAAGAAATATGACAACTTACCGCAGCTCAAAAAGAGCTTTTAAAGAATTGGCAACTCATAAAACCTGGATTGAATGTCTAAAGGATGGCAATAAAGAAGTTAGAGACAGGTCAGATATAATGAAAAGGGCAACGGAATTCTATACCAACCTATACAAAGAACCTCCACAAGCAAAACCCATAGCGAGCAAAAGTAATTTTGGGTCCAATGATGACCAAACTACAATAACATGGGATCCCATAACAGAAAGTGAACTATTGAGTCACATTAAGAAACTAAAACCTGAAAAAAGTCCAGGTCCAGATGGAATCTCCAATGAAGCTTTAAAAATCGGAGCAGAATGGCTAGTACAATTTATTCTCAATCTGTTTAACCTAATCTTAAAACAGGAACAAGTACCCACACAGTGGTGCAAATCCACAATAATACTACTCTACAAAAAAGGGAACCCACTTGACATTGGTAATTACAGGCCCATTAGTTTATTAACAACAACTTACAAACTCTTCTCGTCAATTATTCTTAGCAGAATAGCACCAGAAATTAATAAAAATCAACCCATAGAACAAGCAGGATTTCGGCCAAATTACTCGACAATTGATCATATACATACTATGGAACAAATAATCGAAAAATACAAGGAATTTAACAAACCAATATACATAGCATTTGTGGATTATACCAAAGCATTTGACAGCTTAATACATTCATCTATATGGGAAGCATTAAGAAGTAATAACATAAGCGAAAAATACATAAACATTATAAAGAACATTTACTCCAAAAGTACAAGTAGAGTCAAATTAGAAAAATTGGGTAAAGAATTCCCAATTGAAAAAGGTGTGAAACAAGGAGATCCTCTCTCTCCTAAACTGTTCATAGCGGTATTGGAGCAAATTTTTACAAATATTAATTGGGGAAACAAAGGAATACCAATAATGAACAAAAAGCTTACCCATTTAAGGTTCGCAGACGATATAGCTATTTTTAGTGAAACGGCCACAGACTTAAACAAAATGCTGAATATTTTAGATGTAGAGAGTAGAAGGATAGGTCTTCATATGAATTCTTCAAAAACAAAAATTATGACTAACAGCTACAAACAAACAATCAAAATAGATGGAATAGAAATAGAATATGTGGATGACTATGTGTATTTGGGTAAAATGGTTTCGTTTGACCCCAATAGTAACGAAAATGAAATTGACAGAAGGATAAATGTAACATGGAAGAAATACTGGGCACAGAAAGAATTTCTAAAAGGGAACTACAACTTGAAAATGAAAAAGATAATAATGGATACCTGCATCCTGCCAAGCTTAACTTATGCAAGCCAAACATGGGTATATACGGAAAAATTAAAAAACAAAGTCCTGTCCTGTCAGCACGCAATGGAGAGAAGTGTACTAAAGCTACGCAGAATACATAAAATAAGGAACACAGTCATTCGCGAGAAGACAAAAATAAAAGATGCACTTCAACATGGCCTAAGACAGAAATGGAAATGGGCAGGTCACGTAGCTAGGTACAAAGACAAAAGGTGGACTTATCAACTAACAAAGTGGCGGGGACCGACAGGAAAAAGGCGAGTAGGTCGACAGAGAAAGAGATGGTCTGATGACATTAAAGAAGTGGCCGGGGAACACTGGATGAGCGTGGCTGAAAATAGAGGGAAATGGAACAAGTTGGAGGAGGCTTTTACCCACATGGGACCATATATATAAAGAAGAAAATAAATTAAATTAATCCTAACTTAAAATATTAGTTATAATTGTAATATATGGACAATAAAGCTTTAATAATAATAATAATCAGAGTTTATTTACCCGTTATCAACCCCATTGAGTCCGATTTTCTCACCAATATCACCGACTATAACCCCTGGATATGGCTTCAGCGTTTTTGGGTCCCGAATTGGCACAAGGAATGTGTGGAGACCATGATCTTTGCCCTTGGAAATCAGTTTAGCATATAGGATTGCATGGGTGGCACATTTACCTGAAACGAAAATTAATATATAGCCATATAGAAATATATTATGACTGTGTGGAAAAGGGATTGTGAGTAATGGCTAAATTGACTTAAAAAAAAAACGAATTGACTTTCTTGCTAGCTAGTTCTTTTTAATTGTATATACTGAAGTGAACGGTAGGCCAAAAATTTGACGTTCATAAGCGGCTAAAACATCCTACATAAATAAATTGATGTTGATTTTTAATTTTTTTAATTGAATGTGGACTGCTGTACCTAGCAATGTACCATGATAAATTCCTAGTGAATTTGTCATGATGTATTAATTCCTATAGAAACGTACATACAAACAGTAACATCCTCATTAAAATGATTCAAAAGTTAATATTCACTATTTTACGCCTAGTCATTTTGAGAAGCATTAATATTAATACCTTTATTAGGCACATGTTTAATATTCCTGTTCACATACATATTCAAATCTTGCGATGCATGCTAAACACATCACTCAATTGTAAACTTGATTTTATAGTATAAAAAAAATAAGTCAATATTAAAAAATATTTCTTAAAAAGTCAATGGAATGGTGCACTCGTATGCGCTACCGGTTTACGCTGGCGTGGCACCAGTAGTTAAGATGAACATGAAGTCAGCTCAGTTATCTCATTGTAGGAAATTATCACAACGGTTTACAGTGAGAACCGCATGGAGGTCAACCTGACACGGTACATTACTAGCAATGGGTTTATTACATTATTCAGTTACGTGGTCCGTCGTGAACTATTATAGATAACTAGATTTCCCGGCAAACATTGTTTTGCCTTAAAATAAAAAAAAATTTAGGATTGGACTACCCCTAACATTTAGAAGCAATTGCTTATAGACAACATTATACAAATGTGTATGTTAGAAATAGTAGTAATATATGTTACAAAATATATATTTTCGTAATAACAATATGCAAATTCCATTCTGTTTCTATATGACAGTGACATAGCATTTTTTTTCATATGCTTGAAATAGAAAACAAAATTAGATACCTATATGTATTAATACTATTCTATTACACCACAATGGCAGGACCACAGAGCATCTGATGGTAAATGGTTACCACAGCCCACTGAGTCTTAAAATAGCCATGCTCTCCCATGAGCATTGCAGACCCTTAATAATCCTAAAAATATCTCACACTGAAGGCATAACTAAACAAACTTACCAAGACATCCAACCCAGAATTTGGCAGCTTCAAAATCTGGTGTGTGCAACACAAACTGTTTCTTTTCAGGCACATATGTAGCGGTTGTTCTCATTCCTTTTGCATTTGAGCCGTGCGAGACCTCTGTCAATGCAAAACACCCTCCAATCTTTCCCTCTCTGAGATCATCCAAGATATCAAAGTGATGAGATCTGCCGTTCCCTTGTATTGAGTTAAAAAACAATCTAAACGTTAATGATAACTTGATTGCTAACGAACTGTCAAACATAAACAGAGCTTCGGATTCAGCCTGCAATCTTCTGGGATCATCAATAATCTGAAATAAACATATGGCATTTTAAAGAAAATATTCAGTACAAGTTTAGTACAGACCCAATACTGTTTGCATTTTGAATTTATTCAAAATAGCCTAAGTTTAGTTATTACTTTATATGTATAGGTACTTATATTAACATAACTTCTCTCCATCTTAAGGTTGTCTGAAAGAGATTTCATTTTAGTTATAAGACCACCCATTGTTACCTCTTTGTATTTATTTATTGCCAATAGAATAATTAATTTTACTGAAACTTACTTTCTCATATGGTGCAAAATCTTCATGGAAGATGGCATACATTCTCTTGATGGTTATATGTCTCTCTTCATCGAGGGTTGGGGTTGCATCTGAATATTTGAACAAGGGGTGGGTCTCCATAAATGTCCAAATATCATTCTGAAATAAAGGATATTTATCACTCATTATTTTACCATTTAAAAAAAAATTAATTGCAACGATCACATAAAATAAAAAATAAAGTAAAGACTGCATTTCTGTTTCAAGGGCTATTTAATTAGTCCCAAACTTGAATTGTTTTACTACATATAAAATTTATGTTTAAATGTTTCTCCAAATTTGAAATAATATATGAATTTATAAATCTGGCATAGATCGAAACGGAATGGAGTTTTATTATTTATTGTTTAAGCTTTATTTTCCACATATTTTACAATTTTAAATTTATATTTCAAGTTTAATTCATTTGGCTTCTTTATATGTTCTTAATATGGTCCCATGTGGGTATAAGCCTCCTCCAATTTGTTACATGATCCTCTATTCTCGAATAGAAGATGGAGTTCTTATAACTACACAACTATCTACACAGTAAGCTCATTTTGTCTTTACTTTTCTTTCTTTCTTCTTGACTTTCGGAAAAAAAACATATGTACATAAGGGTAAGGTAAATAAGGAGTACAAATTAGCATGGACAGTGTTTCTGGAGATCATCTTGAATATCATCAAATACCCAGAAGGAATGATCTGATGAATTTAGTTTCACCAAAACATAATCTATGGAAGGAGGGGATAATAAGTAATGGGGTCCACTGACCTCATTGTAAACAATATGGGATGGGAACAATCTCTAAGCAGTTGGAAACAATCACTGACATTTGCTGGTGAATTCACCAAATAGGCTAACTGTGTTGAACAGATGGCCAGCGTGACACTAGCATATTCGGTGCCATTTATTTAAAAAAGTAAGATAAATATATCACTTACTTTTAATTCAATCGTATTCAAGTTTTCATAGATAAGTTTCATTCGACGCCAATTAAATGATGCATTTTTTCTAAATTTGTCTAATGGTCCCGAAGGTAGATTTGGGAAATATTCCTCAAGTTGGTTATCACTAATTGATACGATATCATTTTGTTCCATTTTTGATATATTTTCTAGAATAAATTTAATAATATAAAAATAAAACTTAGTGTCGTAATTTAAAAGTGAAATATTATTAAAATGAAAATAAACTAGAGTTCATTTGAAATCACACATTAAAATATAAACTTTGGACACAAAACAACAGATAATTATATCACAAACAAAGTAGAAATGTTATCACAGAAGACCTATTAATTTTAACAAACAATAAACAACTAATATATTAAAATATAGAATTGATTTTACACATTATAGTAAAATAATTTATGGGTCACACGTAGTGTATACATTAATAACTGTATACTTAATTATTGAAATATTTACAAAAGTTTTGAACTTTTACTTTTTTTTAATCCCGTTCACTGACATTAATGATCACGAAAGCAGAATGCAGGGTTTTTTTTATTTTAATGATTTTTTTACCGAAGTACTGTCAAATTATCGAAACTCGTACGTGATTGATATAATTTATTGTCATTCAGTCATTCTTGCATTCAAAAGTTCAAATTTGTAAACTTTACTCATTCATTGTCTTTTTATTTATGAAATGATTATTAAAAGTTTATTTTTCAATTTATTTTCTTTCTTTTATAATTTTAGTTTGGATAAATAATTATTTAGTTGCTTACAAATTTTATAGTAAATTGAAAATAAATTTAAAAGCATTTTTATATTCAGCAAGCTATCTGCAACTTTAATAATAATTTAAAGTGGACCTGTTTATAAATAAATAATAAAATATGGACAAATGTGAGTAAATATCCATATAATTGGTTATCTTAGTCTTTTTAATATATGTATAATTTATTATCTTAGTATGCTTTTAATAAATTTACACGTTCTGATTATTTGCCGGTATCGGTACTTGCGTATTACTTTTTGATTACAATTATTTATTTGGAGGGTCAACACAGTTATTGTCAATACATTTTATATAGTTTACAATTAATTAAATTAAAACGACAATCTGCAATATTGACAATTGTAAATATATTTTTAAACATTGATCTTAAAAAGTTATAAATTAGAAACATTTGTCTATACCTGCGTTGCATCTACGAGTAACATCATTAAAAAATAAATTAATACCCAACCACACTTTCATTCCATTTTTAAATTTCGTCTTCTAAGAAAATTACCACCAGCCCCTTAGAATAAAACAATTTTTATATGAGACTGTGTAAGCTCTTCTTTTTTAAGAACCTTTATTACATAGATTCAATTTAGGATTAATTCTCATTAATATCTTTTATAAAACACCACATTTATTCCTCTGTAATTCTTATTCATATTTGTTTAATATCAGTGAACAAGTAACTACTACACGTAACATCTTAACATTCTAAGCATTTGTGTTGCTTAGAACTTTCTATATAAAACCAATTTATAAATCTTTGCCTTTCTATTTTAATTTTTAAACATGACTTATATATTAGTTATAAAGTTGATTTTCTAAATATTGTTTTAACCTTTTTTTTCAGTAGTTTACAATTGTAGGCATTGTATTAATAAGACATTTACCATGACTGATATTTCAAGGCTGTAACAAAGATCTTAGGATATTTGTAACAGTATCTAAATAACAGGAGCTCTTAAATAATATCATAAAAACAATAAAAACTATAGCACACAGATTATAACTAAATAAACAAACTGACCCAATACAATTTTGTAATATGACAAAAGAGCTTATTCCTTTTGAAAGGCCGACATCACACTTGTAGTTTCCCTGGTGTTGCGGGTGCTCATGAGCTGCTGTAATAGAGCATAAGAGTATGTTTTTTTAGTTATGATAATGGAATGATACACCCGCCTGTGCTAATGCGGTGGCGGATGATAATATGAGCATGAAGTCAGGTCAGTTATTACATTGTGGCAAATTTGTGGAATTTATCACAATGGTTTCCAGGGGGACTGTGTAGAGGTCAACTTGACATGGTAAATTGCTAGCAATGGGGACACTAGACACCATATTACTAACAATTTCCTTCCCCCCAAAAGAGTATGTTAAAGGAGTTTATTACAAAAGGCCATCTTACATAATTTTATTTGAGGCTTGTAGATTGTACAGTGTAGTAGATTGCTAGCAATGGGGCCATTGATCTCCATTATGATGTAACTAATAACAAGTTAAATAACTATCCCAAACAAAGCAGTGCTTGTAGCTATTATACTTAATTTTGTGAATTCATCTATACATATACTAAAAATGAAAAGACTGATCGCTCACTGTGAATGAAACATAAACGAAAAAAACTATTATTGGGGACTTTTATCAAAGTAATACAAATCAAAACAATGCTAAAAAAACTGCGGGAACCCACAATGTATATTATTCGCGGAGCAATGAAGGCGTGGAAAAAATAACAATAATAGAAAGACACGTTTAAAAAAAAAAGGGAATGGACCTTCAGTCTATGGAAATAAGGGCGTAACTATAAAAAAAAAAATCATACAATAATTACAATTTTTATGTGCGCTCCTTTGTGCGCGCTAATCTCAAAAACGGCTTAACCGATTTATATCCGGTTTTCCCTAATGTATTGTGAAAGCTTAATTAAAATTGTTACTGTTTATATTATTCCAATTCAATATATCCAATACAAACAAGCGTATTCAGATAATATAAATATCTTCCCATAACACAAGCTCTGCTTATCTTGGGACTAGATGGCGCTGTGTGTATTGTCCAGTTATATTACTGTTATTATTAACCACCTGATTCAACTGCTACCATATTTTTTTTTGTTCCTGGTATATCCGCGAGCAGTATATTTACTATAATCGGATTGATCGGGAGATAGCAATGAGGGTCTGCAGTCCATTGAGTGCGAGTCTTTCATGACGCCCTCTGGCATAAATTCAGTAATTAAGAGCTGAACAACAAATAAAAAAGCAACAGGCTTATCCGAATCTAGTTGATGCCTTCTTTTCAGGCGTTTTCAGTGTTTGTTAGTGAGTATCCTCTAAGCTAGTTCATTGGAGTGGACACTCAGCCGAGCCTTGTATTTTGAGCATGTGCTAGCAGCTCCTCTCATACTGTTGGTAAATTCGAAAAGTGATTGATTTTCACCATACATATAAAAAATTAAAATATGTTGAAAAAAAATTGAAAAAAAGCACTTTTACTATTTAGAAACACTCTGTATAATTTTGTAGTCCTGTTTTCAATAGACATTATAAAACGGACACTTAAAAAAAGCCAATCACGAGATGGAACCAATGCAATATGCACGTAAGCTATTAACTCGGTCCAAGTAATAGAACGTCCCCCTACCCCCCATCCCGCCTACGATCTCGCCCACCCTTTTATTAGCTCTGCAAAATGAAGCGCTCTTGTTCCTTTTTAAAAGTGGCCATTATTCGAAATAAGATTGTTTATGGGTAGCCAGAGAGGAAGTTTTGTTGTATTTTCTTTTAAAAATTACAACGCCGTTTCTCCAGCTTCGTAATTTAAGAAGTCATCTAAAATATTAGTTCGACTAGCTGTTTCGCGCGACTTCGTTAGCGAGGAACTAAAATGTTTTTTTCGGACTACTCTAATGTTGGCCGCAGCTGACCTTTACAGCTTCACCGGACGATAGAGGCCGAGTGCAGATAGCACTCCAAACCTGCGGAAGGACTTATGAAGCGGCTGAAGGCAAACTCCCGTCTGATGGATACGACTTTAGTCTGAGGGCACCGCTAGGGGTTCGAACCCCGACTCAGGCCGTCGTAATTTTAATCCCCTTTTGAATTGGACGGGGGATCGATCGGAGGGGGAATTGAAAAGTATAAAATTTCTAGTTGCTGATGATAGGGTTTTAATTCTAAGTAATTTCTTATAAAGCTATCTACTAGAATAGATCTTTTAGTTTATGTTTCCAAACTGAACTTTTGTGATCTCACACGTGATAATAGTATCGGAATTAATAATTTATATTATAGCGCGGTGGTGTTATCACCTCACCACTGTAGCGTTATGTATGATGTGATGAGGTGTCGCTACATAATATATTGTTTATTGTCGTACTTATGTAGTGAGTATATAGGTGAAATAATTGTACCATTAATTATATATTAGTAAGTTTATTTGGTAGTGTGCTACGTGGCTTATTTGTAACGCGTACATTCGACGCGGAGTCGTAACGTGGACTGACTTTACACTTAACTTAAATGTATGTTATTTGGAGAGGTAAACTAATGGAAGTGTGCCGAGTGTGGACAGAATTATTACAAGTGTAGGTACAATATCAGTCGTCTAATACCCATAACATAAGCTGCTTATCTTGGAACTATATGGCCTTGTATAAATTGTCCAGGGTTATTTTTTTCATGATACATGGATTAGTAGTAACGTGTACATTCGACGCGGAGTCGTAACGTGGAATGACTTTACACTTAACTTAAATGTATTTTATCTGGAGAGGTAAACTAATGGAAGTGTGTCGAGTGTGGACAGAATTATTACAAGTGTAGGCACAATATCAGTTATCTAATACCCATAACACAAGCTTCTTATCTTAGGACTATATGGCGTTGTGTAAATTGTCCAATGTTATTATGTTCATGATATTAACCACTTGATTCGACTGTACCCAATCATCCGGGATCGTTTTACCTCCGCCTTGCGTCGTAAAGTATATTATTTTTGAGACTCGACGCTGCTCTAAATTTTACTGTTTGAACGTGAGTCGTGAATTACAGTGATTTCAGTATTTTTAGTTGTTATTAGAAGATCTATCGTCATATATATAAGAACCTTGCATCACGATGTTTCTCCCAGATTAATTCCTTCCTAATTAGCATTAAACAATTGTAGCTGTGTCCGCGGTTGCAGCGAGCACAGCTACAATTGTATAATGCTGATTAATAATACACACAATATTATAATATATGTATTATAGAAAGACGGTTTATATGAAGAAATAACTATGACTTATTACTTAGAGGATACTAAATGACTGTATAATAATAATATAATATCTTCTCTTCTTCAATGTCGATTTCTCAAGGCTGAGAATCGTGACCACCAGGAATGCTTCTTCCAACCAAATCTCTCCAGGCATTTCTATCCTACTCAACTATAATATATCTATATATATATTTAAAAATATATATAACATACATAGATTTTTATCAGTTGTCTAGCACCCACAACACAAGTTCTCCTTAGCTTGGGACTAGATGGCGCTGTGCTAATTGTCCTGAGATATCATTATTATTTAGACTAATTCATGCAAAAGATAAATCTAAATATAGCATTATACGACACATGCGCCGTAACTGCTACGCTGGTAAACTTCCCAACTGAAGTTTCAGCCTTCAGTACCGATAGAACAGACGGGGGTGGTGCGCGCCCCTCGCTTCCAAGTTTTACGCAATGTATACGAGAGGTGTGATATAACAAAATACATATTATACCAATAGAATAACATATTAAAATTTGTATATTTTGTTTGCTTTGGATTTTAAAAAATACTGCAAATGATTTAATGTATATTCATTCTTTCTGCATCACACTTACTTCATATTTATCATCATATTTCGCTCAATCCATATAATATCTTTTTAAATTATAGCCTATATGTTATTCTGATATATAAGTTATATTACTGTATAGTTTCATAAAGATCCCTTCGGTAGTTTTTGCGTGAAAGAGTAACAAACATGCATCCATATTCATAAACTTTCGCGTTTATAATATTATATAATAAATTTTCAAAAACCAAAAATAAAAGATGGTATTTTTAAGAGGGCGTATAGTGTCTTATTTTATATGTATTTTTCGGGAAAATATTTCAAATGCAGTTAAAAAAGATGTTTTATGTCCCTTAAAAATATATTATGAAATTACTGGTTCAGTAGATTCATTGATTTATATTTAGGAAGTACTTTTATTTATATTTAGGAATGCCAACAAACAAAAATACGGAACGGAAAGTCTCTTATACGAATAAATATTGTTTTATTTGTAATAATCCTGATCATCATCATCCACTGTTGGACTTGGGCCTTTCCCATGACACGCCACTGTGCACGATCTTCAGGCCGATCTTGATTTGTTATATTTGTGATTAATTGATATTAATTTCTAAAAGTTTTTGCTTACATGTACTTTTTTCTTCTTTTTTTTCTCCAAATGAATGTATGCATAGACATTAAAGTTAATAAAGCAACTGTTTGTATGACCACTTCATAAAGTAAACACAAAATATTTTGAGATTTTTATATTTCCCATAGTATTGAAGTTTTAAATATTCGCATAGTTTTTAAAAAAAATTGTTGTCTTTGTTACAGTTGCAACGTTGGTGCTAACTCTCGCCTATTTACACTATGCTCTAAGTTTCGGTAAGTTAACTCAATTTTTTCTCTTTACATTGACAGTAGATACAGTTGTTAAAAAACCTAATATTTAATATAATATTACTAAATAACAAGAGATTCATTTGACGGCCTCGGTGGGCTAGCGGCTTAGGTCACCGACATTATTTTAGTTGGTCACGGGTTCGAAGATAATAAGTTACGTTGACTTTCCTTCCATTTTTGACAACAACTGAATCAGTACCATTGGACGGCATTGGAAAAGATATTACAATAAATTGACTTAAAAAAAAACATGTAGAACATTATTGTCACGTATGACAAATGAAACACTTGGACTAATGACTGTTATGTTTTTTTTTCATTTGATTAATATTTTTATTTTAAATTTGACTTCTTTTGTACGTAATATATCTGTCACCAAACTTTTCGTAAATGGCTAGAGAAATTTTGTTTCGGTGGTTTGAAAATACAATAGAACCCGATAGATGATCCTACTTTTGTCGTCATGTCTGGAAGAGTCCGTGTTTTTAATGTTATTTTTCAACATTTACTCTCTTTCCTTATTTAAGATTAATTACAAACGCAATAATAGCATAATTCAGCCAAATAAGTGGCAAGCATGTCATTTTTATTTATACAGATATATTTGATTTATTTTAATAGGTTTATTACTTAATAACAAAAAAGTAGTAAATACAGACAAGAAACATCTCGTTTATGAGTGCAAATTGTAACTAATATTTCAAATTAAATTTTGCTAAAATGGTAGATGGATACTAGATCGGTTATTTCAACACGCACAGACAAAGCCGCGGTGTAGAACAAGTATAAAATATTTATCTCGTAAGTCTGATCTGCAGATACTCCCATTTATGCTGTGCCAGTTTGCCCTTTATAAAATTCTATTACTTGGGAGGCGATACTCGATGTTTAACGAGATGATCGCTCAAATGGCGCGTTTCGGTTCTCGACTGATTGCATCGGCTACAGACTGATTCTAAGACTGCTTCAGTAATTCGCTTTGATAACCGATTTATTGAATCATTTTTATAATCGCTATTTGCTTCTTTAGCGTCGAATTTTTAAACAAATTAGTTTACTGAATTTTGCGAAAGTTTGTGTTCAGTAAGCTTCATGTAATTCGATAATGTGTAATCAGCTGGATTTTGAATGATAGAAATGATGGGGTCAGTAGTCTAGCGGTATAGGACACCGCTTTTCATCCGGTGGTCGCGAATTCGATTACTTGTATGGATTATTACGTAATGTTTGTAGCATTTGCATTCTTGAGTATGATGGTTTTACAGGTTTGGGTGTTTTATATGTATATTATAAATATATTTACTAAAAAATATATAGTATTTATAACAGTTGCCTAGTACTCAGAACGCAAGCTGTTAATTGTCCAGGGTTATAATTACCCTACATCCTCCTTCAATCCAATTATTACTTCTGTGGCAAATATCATGATTTATTAAGAAGTTATGACGATGAAGCGTATGGCCTCCCAGCTAGAAACAGGTCAAGGTTATCAATTTTATACATGCCGTCAGCTGACGTATAATACATTATGTTACAACCAGCTGACTATTTTTTATCTTCAATGTAGGTTCAACTAATTCAATTTGAACTGGGAAGATATGATTGTTTTTTTTTACATATTTACTAAGGCGCTTTTCCTGAACCCAACCCTCTTGGAACTGCAGCTGACTTTCCACTAAGCTTTATAATACAATAATTGTAACCATCTTAGAAGTTTTCGACCAGGAGGGAATATTTGACGAAAAATTTGGTGACTAGTAATGAATAAACTTTTTTGCACTTTGTATATCTAAATATATATAACTCAAAGGTGACTGACATAGTGATCTATCAAAGCACAGCCCAAACCATTGGACGGATCGAGCTGAAATTTGGCATGCAGGTAGATGTTGTGACGTAGGCATCCGCTAAGAAAGGATTTTCATTAATTTTACCCCCAAGGGGATAAAATAGGGGATGAAAGTTTGTATGAAACTTTGTCAATTTTCAACCGATCGGCCTGATACTTTGCATGCATAAACTACTATGACGCAGGCATTCCCTAAGAAAAGATTTTGATAAATTCCACCCCTAAAGGGATAAATTAACGCGAGCGAAGCCGCGGGCAAAAGCTAGTCATTTAGGTATAACCGAAGTTTAGCAATAGATTTATAGTCTTTGTGTAACGTTACTGCTGCCCCGTAATACTTCATACCTATACTTTAATTGCCACATTTCAGTTTTTAAACTGGAAGACAGTCTGCAAGAAGGTGTTACCACGGCGGCAGAATTATTTGGTACAGAGATACTCGCTAGTGGCTTTGACGGTTACTATCTCCTTGCTCTAGTTGTTTTAATAATATATTATTATTATAGGTCGTTCTAAATTTGTACTAGAGTAATTTGGGTACCATTAATTATTTTGTGTACCAAAATAAGGTTACGAGAACGTTATTTAATTTTTGATTCAACACCGATTCTGTCAAGGTGTAAAGCAATTCGTTCAACTCAAAACACAGTTATACCGAGGTAAATTTGTAAAAAGTCGTCTGCGTGGGTACGTCAATTTCACCTATTCTCAGCCGCCAAGCAAGTAAGATATGGTTCTGTTTAATGATCAGATATGGCTAACAACTGCCTTATCTGACCATTAACATCACCGGTTTTTCGAGAGTAGCGGGGCACGAAATGGCGACCTATGAACAATGACTCGGATAAACATGTCATTATATACTCGCGAACGTAACGAGTGTTGCACATGAGTCTTTTACAGGACCGTACCGTGTAATTTCAGCGCCTTATCTAATTAGCTACAAATTATATTTTTCTACTCCTTGTCCTCTTTTGTCGGTTTCACCCCCTTCTGGGGCAGCACACAAAACATTTACGGCTTCGGTGCCGGGCAGCACTTCCTCTTCTGCGACGTCTTCTTTTATTAGGCGCGTACCACTTACAGTCCTCTCGTAGTCACTTCGCTTCCGTTGCCAAGAAATAACAAAACATTATTAGTTGGATCTGGTAATCAAAATAAATGTAAGCACATTTATTTTAATTTCAGTCAATGAAGGCGGAAATTTTGAAGAGGTATAAGTACTCGAATCTTCGTCTTTGTCGCTTGCAAACATATCTACAGAAAGATGCAATTCCTACAATAAATTACTTTGTGTTTAATTTTTTAAAGTTTAATGTTTGCTTTTAAAGCTGAGTTATCAGGTTAAGTTCATCTCAATAAAGACTATTAAGAATACTCGAACTTGGACTTTAGGCGCATGGAGGCCAGAAGCCTAAATGTTTTTGACGGATACTTCAGCACTGATCATCAGGTTACTAGTGACCCGAGAGTTGGTAACTACTTTGCCCAGAAGGTAAGCATGTACGAGGGAACGCAGCTAGTATCTTGGGTAACACTGCCTCGATGTGCCGAGTTGGATGACAACGATATTTTTTTTGTAAATGAAATGTAATTTTTTGTATAATATAAAGTAGAAATAGTGTTTATGACATCTTCTTCATTCTCGCCTCTTCTCGTTACGCGGTGTCGACTTTCCTAATCTTGAGCCACTATGCATTTCGCTGGTAATCGTCATTTAGCAGGCTCAACTCCTTCATGTCTCTATGGACTTTAGTTAGTGGCCTCTGCCTCGTCTTCTTTTTTTGTAGCCATGAAAAAGCACTTCTTCACTACGTAATTTTTGGGGTTTCGCAAAAAAAAGTTTTCTGTTATAATATGATCATATCCTTACTAATATTATAAATGCGTAAGTAACTCTCCTTGTCTGTCTGTCTGTCTTTTCACGCTGAAACCACTGAACCTATTTAAATGAAATTTGGTACACAGATATTCTAGACCCTGATAAAGGACATAGCTACTTTTTAATGCGAAAAAGTTTGTAAGGGTTGAAAGAGCAGATGAAAAGTCTGCTCAGGAAGTATTGTCATTTTACGCGGATGCAGTCGCGGGCGCAACTAGAACATTAAAAGATATTTAAAAAAATGGTTTCGGATTACGTGTGTTGTTAGTGATAGAAATAATTATTTTTAGTGCTGTATCTATAGAAATAAATAGAAATAAGCCTATTGTATTAATAGTCATTGTTAATATTAAATACAATACAACAAATGAACCCTTCCCTTATTGTGTTATTATATTGATCGTTCCACTCCATAATATATTAATGCTGTATGTGAACAACTGAACATATTATAACTTGTACTAACTCAGACTTCTTGTACAGTCGGCATCATAAACATAATGTAAACATAATTTTCTTTTTTGAAAACTAAATTAACTAACTGTAACATATAGGTAAATGGTAAATATTCTAAAGTTGCTTGTGTTTTCTTTAAACAAATAATAACAAAAATAAAAGAACTTTATATTACTCTATATATATTTATTTCTAGTATAGTTGTTCTCTATATATGTATGTTGTAGAAATGTGTAATTAAACTATTTATAACTGGAAAAATGTTTTAATGGTAAGATGGTAGAGAGTAAAATGACATATTATATATTTTTTTTTGATTAAGCAATACAAAAATTAAACTTTAAATATATTAATATCAAAAGATTTTCTCAACATTATTATATAGTATATTAATGAATTTATCGCAGTTCTTGATATTACACACAACACTTTCTGATTATATCTTAAGATTTAGCTATAGAATGCCATACGGCATTAAGGCTAATTAAGGCTCTTTTGGAATAAAATAAATGTATTTGGGTTTAACCAATGTCATTTGTAGTAATTGCTCTGATTTGATCACTACACCTGACTAAGTAATTAAGTTTTACTACATATAGCCTACAAACTCATCCGTCTATATGTCTGACTACTCACCCATTTCATCCAGCTGCAAAGTAGCCTCTTTGTAGGCTGTGTTTTGGTATCCGACTCACGACTTCGGCACATAGCTCTAATGGCTATACAAAGAGGCTACTTTGTTGCTGGATGAAATGGGTGAGACAGATGTATAGACGGACGACACTAGTCTTCTGT